CCGACTAGGTTGGGGAAAAACTCTTCCATATTAGGATACTTTTATGACGTGAAAGTAAGATTATAATATTGATATTTTTAACATATACAAAACATATTTTTTGATAAAAGAATTGTGCTTTCAAAACATGATTTTAAGTTTTTTTATTAAATATATAATATTTTTATTTTTGATTTTAAAATTAGTTAAAATTTTTATGAAAAGGAAACTAAATTCTAAAATTTATTTAATTTTTTTTCTGGTGAATCATGATGTGAAGAAACATAAGGTGAGGTGACGTTATTTAGCTTTTATGACATTTGGGGTAGAAAACATCAATGTAAAAGGCTAAGGGGTAGAAAACATCAATGTAAAACGCCAAGGGAATTAAATTTTAAAATTTATTTATTTTTTTATGTTTTGTCTGCTGAATCATGGTGTGAGACATAATAAAGTGGAGTAGAAAACATCAATCTAAAAAGGCGTAAGGAGTAGAACACATCGATATAGGCTACTAAGGGGTAGAAAAATATCATTAGTTTGTAAAAGTGAAGAAAATGCATTCAAAATAACGTTTTTAAACACGTCATTCAAAATGACGTTTTCTTCCTTATATATTTTTTTTTAACGTCTGTTAAGGATCCGTTAAAATTTTTGTTAAAAAATGTCATTAAAAATAACGATTTTAAAAACATCATTACGAATGACGTTTTTTGGAAAAAAATATTTAACTTTAAATTGTCATTGAAAATAATGTTTTTAGACCTGAAAGTGTCATTGTAAATAATATTTTTAAAAATAAGTTGAGTTTGAGAAATAAATTTAAAATTAACTGAATTATGAAAATAAGATTTTAGAGAGGGTAAGTGTGAAAAATCCTCTTTAGCAAAACCTTTTGTCATTTTGACTTTCTATAGTAAAACCTGGGACTGAGAAAGAGAATCACGTGCATGGATTTGACATGGTAGTACCAAGACAAACTTTTTTTCATGCTAAGAAGACTGACTACTGACAGACACATTGAATATTCTGATGCCATCATTGACAACCTGTCTCTTCCTCCTTCTTCTTCCTCCCTTCCATCCGCCATTAATGACGACCACACTCATTATACTGTACCTCTGCTCAGCACCCACTTTCTCACTGCTGTGTGTTTAATTATTTTCTTGAACTCAAAAGCTTACTAGTTTAGGGTAATTTTATAGTATGAATTTTTTTTTTTGGGTATGATATTAAAGTTATTGAACATTAAAAATTAATATTACATTAATTTAAGTAAGATTATTCCAAAATAGAGTTTATTTAGGAATATTTATTCTACTAGTTATGTATATCAGCCTCAAATAATTATAATTTTAAGAAAGAGAAATAAATTTTGGTATCATATCTCTTTCTCGAATAAGTGTATTGTACCTTTAAAAATATCGGTACTTTATTAAAATTGAATAAGGGAGAGTAATAAATCTAATTTAATATACTTTTAGTTATTAATTATGAAAATAATAAATTCGACAGAGTAACTGAACACCTTCTCCCAAATTTTACCCGGTGGCTAATCAACTTGGCTATGATACCGAATTTTTTTTGATACTGTATCGCTAAATTTTATAATTTTTGTGGGTAATTTTATAAATTTTAAAAGTCATTTTATAATAAAAAAATTCTAATTTTTTGGGTCAAGTTATAATTTTTTTAAATTTAAATTATAACATTTTTGGGTTCAATCTTAACTTTTGTAGTAACTTTGCGATGAATTCTAACATTTTAAGGACCTATAACAACTATGAAAATTGTAAAATAACCTTCAAAAATTTTAAAAATAACCATTAAATTTGTAATAGCAATAGAGTACCGAACAAAAAAAAAAATTAATACTCTAGACTTCTCGATAGTTAATAGTTATTGGGGGACACATACTCCTCCCATCTAATAATTGTTCTACAATTAATGCAGTTCATTGCAGGGAGCCATGTGGAGAAGTTTGAATACGTACAGATTTAACAGTATTGATATTGATGTCAGGCTAGCTTAGGATAGAGCTTAATTTCGCAATTTCACTTATTTTATGGTAGTGTTTAACCAAAAATAAAACTCTAAATAAGAGACATAAAATTTAATTTAATGGTGTGTTTGGTAAGATGAATAAAAAATTGGAATACAAAATAATATATTTTCTATCATTCACAAAAGAAATCCTTTATTCTCTCCTTCGAGTTTGATAAGAGAGATAGAAAGTAAGAAAGATTTTTTTTTTTTTTTTTGTGTTTGTTAGGATAAAAAAGTAAAAAAATATAAATATATATTTTTTACTATTATATCTATATATGAAATTAATATATATACATAATATATAATAGATAAATGATGAGACATTTCTGAGAAAGGATTGGATCTCCGACACGTGTCCTCGGCACCAAGGGCACTTCTTTATTTAGATGAAGACATGTGTCCTCAGCTCCAAGGGCCCTTGTTCTATGACATAGACAAATTGCTGATTCAGCTCCTAGAGAGATTGATGATTAACAACTAATCAGTCTCAGAACTAGGGTTACTCTCCCAACAAAGTCAGAATGGTAGAATGAACAAAACACTCAACCAATGGGAGTTAGACATGTGGTATAAAGTACAGGATGAGAGGTAAATGGATGAAAATATCCTTGCTGACATACGACAATCTCAAATAAGCATTTAATGAATCCCCAGCTGATGGAACATCCGCAATGGCTTGGGAAGCCGAGAAGAAGAAACATTAAATATCTCGGGACCCAAGCATTTAATATCTCTACATTGAAGAAAGAGCATTAAATACTCGAGAACTCGAGCAATTAATAACAGGATTTCCCCCATGCAAAATAAGATGTGCACTGCCCTATGTTTGAGCACTACATACTGTCTAGATCGTCAGTAATGACGAGTTTTTGGAAATATAAATAGCTCTCAAAAATGTAAGGCAAAGGTATGCAAATTGACTCCTCAAGAACACCAAACAATATTTTATTCTTCTCCTCTCTCAAAAAATTGACCTGATCGTCAGAGGGAATACGCTGAAAAACACTTTCACGCCCTTCTATCCCGTTTTTTATGTGTCAGGAATCGCCCACGACTTGCCAGAATCGATTGGATAACCCTTGAAGTAATTCATCACCACTCCTTAGGCCCCTTTGATCATCTTGGTTCTCCCTTTGCCACAGGATCGTCGACTTTTGAGATAAATGCGAGTTTACCAGGGGAGATATCTGTCTTATTATTTATTGTGCAAAAATCGCCACGCACAATAAATATGATATTCATATAATAAAACACATAACAACTTAAATTTTTATCTTCTACATATTTTTTTCCTTAAAAACATCACATCACTCATTTTTATCATATATTTAATCATTTAATATTTGATTAATTTGTTGTTAATATAGTTTTTATTTCAAATATTATTCATATACAATAGTATACAAACGTTAAAAAAATTTAATATATTGTAATCGATTTTTTGGACGCTTGAATTTTATATTTTATTGTGCCTTCAAACATTGGTTATGACCGGTAGATAAATATAATATATGTATATATTTAAGGATATATAAATAAATAGCATATATTTCAATGTATAATTAACTTTTCTTCTATTTTTCCTCCTAATTTTGGAAGAATCAATTTTGGTGAGCTAGAAAAAAAACTAATTCATTCACTTTTTTATCATTTTTATTTTTCCTCCTTACAAAACATTACGTTTTATCTATATCATCCCTCTTTTTTTCCATTATACCAATCAAACCATAAATTTTGATGGTGTTTTAGGATTCCATAACAAACTAAAAGTGTTGTTTTTCTGACTCAGCCCACCAAGGGCCTAATGGTTTGGTGTTTGATAATCTTGAAGAAATTCTTGCCAATCCTTTGTCTGATAATTCAACTGTTGGGCTCAAGTATGGACAAAATCAATTTCAATAAACAATTTGCACAGGAATTCTAGTCAAAGGACAAAAAAAATCAAAAAAAAAAAAAAAGAAAATTGTAACACGGTACGTCATTCTGCTTACAGTGTGGATGCAGCAGTCTAAGAAGTATTAGGGTTACTTGTATTATGGTCAATAGCATCCGATCCAAGTTAAGCGTATTTTGATTAATTCTCTTTTTAATTTGGTAAAAAACATATCATTCACATCGAAACTATGGGTTATCAAGTGAATCTACAAATGAAATTTGATTATTTTTCTTTTTTTCTTCTTAATTTAATTAAAATAAATATTATATTTTTAAGAATGTAGATTGTGGTTAAATGAAAAATATAATCCTTTAGAGTACCCAATCGAAAAATATGATTCATGCATCCAATCTCAAATAGTTTTGGAAAAGCATTTTTTTTTCAATTGAATATTACACTATTAAGAAATGAAATTGGATCAATAATATTTTTTTGTAGTTCAAAACAAATGATAGTAATTGTCATAAAAACTCTATAAAAAAAAATGTCACCCTCACATGACTTTGTATCAAAATTCCAATTAGTAACAATGATGTTTGTAATCAGGTACTAATCGATTATTTTTATTAAATATTTGGTATTATTTCTTTTCACAAGTAATGTGCGTATGTCTTTGTTGTGTAAGTAGCACACTTTTTTTTTTTTTCAATAGTCAAGTTGTTCAGGCCAATTTTTGTGTACTTCGATTAATTTTTCTCTTGTCTGTTTAAAGGTAGACCATCCATGTTAGGATTAGAGTATTCACGAGAGATAAATTTCTCATTATTTTACCTCAAAGGGTTTTTAAGATTGGGTCAAATACTATTACAGGAAGAGAGAAAACGAAGTTTGAACTTACGACGAATGAGTTACGAAATGGTAGTTCACTCTTACGAAGATTTCCACCTGGGCTCAAGCCACAATTTTTGCTTTGATGAGGTCCATGAGGATCACAGAAACGGACGAATTACAGCCTGAAGTAGGATTAATAAGGCTACAATAAACCCAAGGGCCAAATCATTTGGCCCAAAATCAGCCAACCATAAACCCCCAAGGGGCCAAACGAAATCAACAAAACCCTACAATACAGTCCCACACTACACACTCTACAACCAACTTGTTCTTCTTAGTCACATTCATTTATCCAGAACCACACACCCAAAACGATGTCGAAGTGGTGGCGCACCGTCGCCGGAAACCTGAGAAGATCGCCGGGAACTTCAAGGTCCTACCACACCATCCAAGCAATTCCTCGAGAGTTAAGCGGAAACAGAGTCTCTGTCAGGGATAGAGCCCAAGGCCGCATCCCCGCCGTCGTCTTCGCTCAAAACTACCTCCAAACAAACCCTAACGACCCAACCACAACCACCGTCAGGTCCATATCAAGAAAACAGTTGCTCACCACTGAAAGAAGGCAGATTCAGGCAATTCTCAATTCGGTAGAACCGCCTTTCTTTTGCTCCACAACTTTCCCTCTCCAGATCCGTGCTGGTTCGGGCTCATCCACTTTACTTGAATCGGGAAAAGTCCTTCCAATCAAGGCAAGTGTTTCGTGTGCATTTAATTTATATTATTCTTGTGTGTGTTTTTTTGTGGGTATTGTAGAGATTGGTGGTTATAAATGGTTATGGTGTAGATTCATAGGGATCAAGAGACAGGGAAGGTTTTGAACTTGGTTTTTGTTTGGGCTGATGAGGGAGCGGAGTTGAAGGTTGATGTGCCCGTAGTGTTCAAAGGAGAAGACGTGTGTCCAGGTCTCAAGAAAGGTTAGTGTGTTTCTGTATATCTGCTTCGTTGTTTGAATTGAGACGAAATGTGCAAGTATTATATGCTTGGTCATTGTATGTTTAGCTTGAATTGTAGGAAGCTATACCTCTTTGCCTGTGTTTTGTGAAAGTTTATACAGTTGTTCAGTTCCATTATTTGTACTTTGGTGTTTAGCGATAGTTATGGAATGCACATGGAGGGGACTGAGCTTCCTTTTGTTCACCTGTTGGCAAAGAGTGGGTTACTGTGCAAATATGGGATCTGTCTTGTGGGAAAATTTTTCTGTGTAGTAATCAATTTATCCTGGAAATATCTAATTAGATGCAACTAGGTTGACTTCAAGTGTGTTCTTAATGAAAATGGATAGATTTTTCTAGCGATTGAGATGTGCTCAGCATCCCTATGGCTTCATGAAAATTCCAAAAAATCTATGTCTCCACTTTTAAAGTATAGGGGGCCTATGTTTTCTTGGATCAGGCTGACGCATTCTGAAGGATTCTCAAAATGGAGTTGCATTGCAAGTGCCATTATTAATTGTTTGAAATTTTATACTTGTTCAGATGCTTCTTTGGGTTTAGATTATAGAGGTCCAGGCAGGAGGCTTTTATCTTATATGCAAACCCTTGGGGTTTTGATAGGATAAGTTCCCTTGGGGTTTTGATAGGATAAGTTCAGAATGTTGCTGGTTAGAAAATTTTCTATTCTTGTTTATTCATTGATCAAGAACAGGTTTTTATTAAATGAATTTGTTTATTTGAACTCTGTAAATTTTAGTTTTAGTCACTTCTAATTCGTAAGCGCTTTTAGAGTGTTAGTATATTTTTTCTGTAGTTTTTTTTTTGGAAGTAAATTTTTATGTGGTGCTTGCCATGTTATGTTAGGTAGTTTTATGTTAACCACATTTGTGATCCTTGAAGCCCTGTCTATGATTCCTTTTGTAGAATTTTCTCGTTCACAATTCACGTTTTCATTTACTATTCCCCTAGACTTGTTGATATGATCTTTAGAAGATTTCTGTATGAGTGTAATCTCTTTCTTGTGAGCAGTTCTGTGATATTTAGTCACGTAACCTTTCTGAGCCAGGAGAGTGGATGTCTAGTCCAAGGAGTTGGATGGTGATGTGTTCTTACAGGACAACAAGTTCTGAGTTTTATTTAAAGTTTTCCCTGTGATTCTTAAAGGGTGGAAACATATTATGTGATGAATTCTAGATCAAGAATTTGTTTAGATAATTTATGTTGTTGGTATGTCTCTTGATGTTGCCCTATGTGACGGGTTGAGACCTTCAGACCTTGTATTTTATGTGATCATTATTTCACCTGTCCAACATATTTTATGAGATATATTATATAGTAAGTCCACATCTCTGATATTCGTGTGTACACATGCCTCTGTTGTTTACCATCCTCCTATTGGATAGGTATGGTAATTTCTGGGGTGTGAGTAATATTTTAAGATGAGGTAATATTGTGTTGTTATGATTTTCACTAAAATGTATGCAATGGCACCCCCACTATTTATTCTATAAACTCAAGGTGTTGTCCAATTTTTTCGCTGTTGAAATATTCCATCTGCTATTGTTTCATCTTTCTGACCTCTTTGTTCCAATTTGAAGCAGGGGGTAATCTAAACAGGATAAGAACCAGTCTAAAGTATATGTGCCCGGCAGAACATATCCCTTCAAAAATTGAGGTGGACGTGAGCAATCTAGATATTGGTGATAGGGTGTTCATGCGTGACATTGAGGTTCATCCGACATTGAAGCTTGTTAGTAAAAATGAGACTCTGCCTGTGTGCAAGATTGTGGCAATGGATTTAGAGACCTCCCACTCTGCAAAGTAGGCACTGAAGCACGATGCAAATCACTACAATTTTCAGAACCCGAGTTCAAGAACTTACTGAGAAGGCGTCTGAGGTTATGATTCGCACGGTAAATTGATGGTATGTTGGCTCCTTGGTCAAGCTGGTGAAAAATTAATTTGATAATGCAATAAAACATGTAGTAGTCATGGTGGAAAAAAAATTTCTTGGGTTATCTGGGCAAAAAGTAAGTTGGTTGCTGTGAAATGGTTACCTTGCGGGTTTAGTGTGGTTCCTGAAATTATAATTTTGATTTTTAGCTGGAAAACACAAAGTTATAATGAACTCTGAAGAATATTGCAATCACCTTTATTATTAATTAATAGCCATTTACCTTTGTATCGGGGTACAGTGACAGGGTACAGTGATATGTGTTAATCAAGCTGAATTTTGCGAGTTTTAGTCCGAGCTTTGCAAACACTTTATTTGAAATGGGCATAAAAAATTGTTCAAGTGCGAATCATTTAGAACTTGGGTTAAATTCAAGTTCGAGTAATTTGACTATTCTACATATAAAGAATCGAATTTTACGAATTTGAGTCGAACTTTTTAAGTCCGTTTTTGTAAATGAAACTTAAAAATTGTTTAAGTTTAACTCGTTTAAAACATGAGTTGAGCTTGAGCCAAGTTTTATCTTAGCTGAGCCCGAATAGCTCATCTTCATTAACCCATAGTTATTATATTACCTTCATCTCTTATAATTTCTACTACAACTGTTAAAGAGACAAAAATTGACAGGTGTATGGTGATATATCAATATCAATAACTATAAAAGGGGTGTCCTTGTAATTAGGTTTTTGTTAGGAGAGTGTCAATGAAATTTATCCTAATGACAGTTTTGCACTAAAAGACAATTAATAGTATCTCATCCGATCCTATTATTTTCTTCTTTATTGTTTGGTTAAAAAAGCAGTCTAATATATATTACGAGGGCTTGAGAATGGCCACATATCTTCTATCTTGCTTGACGCATGGAGAAATTGTTCTCGTAACTCAAATTTACGCACCTAAATTATGATGAAACAACCTTATGTCTGCGTTAAAATTGCTTTTGTGGGACATGGAAATGATTAGTTCTTTGTAATCATGTTGGGAAAAAACACACTGCCTATAGACTAATCCAATACACTTGCAATCTTTCGAAAGAGATTTATCATCTTTGCTGAACACCCAGTGGCAGTACACAACACAATCACATTGGAGTATTTTTTGGATGGTCAAATATGTTGCTACACATATTTGTCAGAAGTGTTGTCCCTCAGGATAACACAGTTAATCGGAGGAGATCTACTGTACTTAGAGCAGCCTTTTAAAACTCATTTTTTAGCTATTTTAGATAGCTTATTCCCGAAATATGGCTCCAATAGACTAGTTATTCTCCTATCTATTTCTCATAACTCCATTTTTACTAATTACATCTAGCTACCCAAAAATTCAGTAAACTCCCTCAAAAATTCATCAACACCCCCAAAAAAATTTAACAAAATTTTCCAAAAATCCAATAAACTTTTCCCAAAAATCTGACTTCGGTTATTTGTGTAATTTGAGGTGATTTTGTTTTGGATTTTGTGATTTAATTTGAGAGTAATAATTTTCGAGAGGTGGGTTCTCTCGTGTAGCTTATAATTGATTAAATTTGTACAATGTATAGTTGAATTGTTAGTTTTTGAATTTTATTATTAAAAGTTAGTTAAAATTAGTTGAAGTGGTTAGATAAAATAGATAGTGTTGTTGGAGTGAATTTGAAAAAGTTGTTAGTTAAAGTAGATAATACAATATTTAAATATATTTTGAATAGCTATTGTAGATAGTATTGTTGGAGATGCTTTTACGTTGGGACCAAAACTCTACGGTTTCACTGCATGTTCTAGTTTTAGGCACTGAAAAGTAGATTTAACTCTTACCAAACTGTTATAACTATAGAGACTCGAACTCAATTATTAAGTGAAAAAATTCGAATTCTCACCCAATATATGTATAAAACCTACAACCGGTGGCTGGTGGCTGGTGGTGGTGGAGTGGAAGAAAATGTAAATAACGAAAACTGTAGGGATACTTCTCTAGACGATGACTAAATGGACTTGGTAAAGGACTTTAGGTCTTCATGGCTGTATTCTTTTTTGAGCCTGATTCATGGCTGTATTCAAGAGTTACATAAATGAGGAAGAAAGTCTAAGGCCTGAACAGATGGAGAACATGGATGCGTTTTTGAGTTTGGGTTAATTATGTGGATACCCCCAAAGTATGAGTTATGTGTCATTTAATCCGTAGTATTTTAATTGCATCATTTTGATTACTATAGTATTATATTTATATTTTTTTGGTTTCTCAAACATACAACATCCAAATTATTCATAGATTTTGGTCACGACCTTGTCACGTAACCAGGGAATAAGGGGATTTCTAGGGACAAAAAAAAATACATTGATCTCAACACAAAACCCAACCTGCTCTAACAGTCCTCTTCACCAATCCATCTCCCTCTTCCTTCCCCACTCACCTGCAATGCCTCGTCTCCTGACTCATTGCTCTGTCAATTTGGACTACATCTGCTTAAGAGATCACATAAAATACAAATACAATAATTCAAGGATCAAAATGAAAGAATTGAAACATTAGGGGCTAAAATGATAAATGACATATACTTAAGGGACCTCCGGTGTGATTATGACTTCGAAGTTTGACCAACGAAGTTCAAATTTACAGGCGATCCATGTTTTTCCAATCTGAATACAAATGACCCAACAACTTTCTAGATGTGTCGCACATGGGACTAATTTCTTCTGTGTTTCCCTGCGGTTGACCCCTACACAAGCACTTCAACGATGGACTTGGTCATGGAGACGAAGGTATAAGAAATGAATGGAAATAGGCTATATAGTTAGGGGTAATAATTTTTGACACAATATAAAAATAAAATTGAAGTCGACACAATTTTAGCAGGTTAGATTTCGTTATTTTTCGATATAAACTCGTATATGACACGACCCGTTAACACAAATAATAAATATGTTAGATTAGTATCAAACACAAAATTGACACGATTAACACGTTTAAATAGTATTGTAAGAATAAAATGTTATTTTTTTATTATATTTTATAAAGTAGTGACCTGATTCTTATACAAAAAATATATATATTTTTACTCATTTTTATTATTATATTTATTAAATTAATTTTTAATTTAGATAAAAAGTATGAGCATAGATCCGATTAAGTGACAATGAAATTTTAGATATAAAATCAAGCGTTAAATTATTTATTCATGAGTTATATAGATTAATACAAATACGACACCAAATAAATAAGTTAACATGGCACGATTAATTAAACGGGTCGGATTAGAATTAACTAATGCTCGATACAAAGTCAAAATAACGTAATACAAACGCGATCCAAGACAACACAATTTTCACCCCTGTATATAGCATAAGGTTTTTTTATTTTTCACAAGATAAGATAAAAAAAAATAAAAAATAATATCTTGTTGTACTAATATTCGTGACATGTAACACAACAAAATAAGTTAAAAGAGTACGGATGAAAACCTTCAGTATTGTAATTGAATGTAATGGCGTAACGAGAATAATGGCTATCATTAAAAAATAAAAATAGTTAAATTTGTATGAACCTTGACTAAAGAAATAACTAGTGTGGAAAATTGAGTTGAACCATTCCAAAACTTGGTTACTACTATGAGTTCGATTCCTACATGCCCATACATGATCGTGAAAATAGATAGAGTTTGATATTACGAATCCAACCAAACACACTCATACATGATCGTAAAAATAAATAGAATTTGATATTACGAATCCAACCAAACACACTGTGATTGAACATCGGGCGATACACAATCTCCCCAATTGGACAAAAGGTAGTATAATTCAAGAGAATTTTACATTTTCAGAACATATACCAAAAACTAGAGACACTATATTTGGTAATATTTTTAAAAACTTTTGTTTTTATTTTTTTAAGTTTTCTTAAGTAGCTTTTGGCTTTTATTTTTTTCATGTTCTAGCTTATTTCCTTTACCTTTCGAATTTTTTTTTTTACTTTTTATTTCCCTTACTTCAAACTTAACCGCATCTATAATAATATACATATAATCAATTACATGAATATAACAATTTTATAGTAAGATGTATATGGATCATTTTTACGAAAAAAATCGAAATCAAATATTTTTATTTTTCTACAAATTCAAAAAATACATTATCTTAGACATTACAACTACGCCGATTTTGTTTTAGATTCCCATAATAGTAATAAAAAATAGAGTATGTATGTATGTATGTCTGTATGTATACTTTGACTCCATCAAAGCTCTAGAAAACATAGGTATGTAATCCAATTTTTCCTTAGTTGACCCATTATGAGTTGAAAATAAATTATAAAAATAAAATCAATCAACCTCCATATATCCAGACAAATTCCACGTAAATCTTAATATTCTTAATATATAAGCGGTTCAATTATTTGTTAGTGACAGTTTGAGCTCGTGATAGAGACACCTCCCTCCCCTTTTTTGCATTGGATTAAATTACACTTAAATCCCTTTAATTATGACCCTTTTTCACTTTGTCCTTTAAACTATTGAATTCTTCACATTTTCTTTCAAGGACTTTGATTATTAAACATTGCCCCAATCACAAAAGTCTATTATCTTTTTGGATGAAAATTGTTGATGTGTTTGGGCAAAATGAAAAATATTATATAATTTCACAGATAAATTGATATTACTTTTTTTTTGCTACAAGGTGTCCAAGACTTGCATTGACCACTCCATCAAACTCAGTAATATCCATCGTGGCATGAGCTAAGATAAAACATGTTTCTAAAGAACAAAGGTGGCTAGCATTTAACTGGAGTGGAAAAAATTGTACTTGAGATTTTTAGTTACCAAATATTAGACTCAACCATTAAACTAATCTTAAATATTAAGTGAAATAACTTTTCATTAAATATGTAGTGTAAGTTAATAATTGAGACGATGTGAAACTAATTGCATAGTTAAGGGTATAATATGAAAAATATGATAGTTAAGGGGACAAATTAAAAAGATAGTCATAGTTTATGGGGTAAAAGTCTAATTTATACTTTTGTATTTTTGGTTGGAATTACGTTGTTGTCGTAAACCGCGTTACAGTTAGACATGTTTTGAGAGAGAAAAGAGAGAGAAGGTAAAAACGCACCCCCTAATAACCCAACGACGAGGACGACGACTCCATTTCCGCTTTCGTCCGCCTCCATAGCACCATGCCCATTTCCTTCCTAAGATTTTCCAAAACCCAAATCACCGCCACCTATCTCCACCATGTGACCACCAGCAGCAGCAGATGAGCCACAGTTCCATGCATTCTCACAATGCCTTGGTGGCAAAGCGCCTTCTCTTCATCCTCAGCCTCTTCCTCATCGTCCTCCTCCTCCTCTAAATCCTATTCCGACGATAGTCTTCTCCACCGCATCGGCCTCCGGAGTCTCCGCGGCGGCCGTCGGGTAAGGTCTCAGCAGCGCCGTCTAACCCGAGCCAGGCAGCTCCGGTATCTCCCCGACCACATCGTCGGAGATCCTCAGGTGCTTTGGCGCTCTCCCAGCGCTCTAGAACATTCCACGGCACGGTCTTCGTCGGCTGTGGTTCCGCAGCCTTTGCCTCTTCCTGAATTGGCGCTGTTGCTCCGCCGCGATGCCAATTTGGTTTCGAATTCCACCTCTGGGAATGTTCCTTTGCCCTCTCCCAAAAATGTGGCCAGCAAAGGAGGTGGAGAGGAGAGAGAAAGAACCCAGAATTTCAACGAAGATGCCAACGGTGATGGAGTCACGTCAAATACTGGTTTAGGGAGGTAAAATTTTCTGTGTTTTTTTCCGAATGTTTTAGGCAATCCCCATTCGCCCTTTGTAAAATTTATATTATGTCATTTTAATCTTAAACATGTTCATATAGAGAAAGACATATACATGGTGATTTGTTCAATTGTTTTCTTGTGTGACTCACTTGTCTTTTCGTTGAAATTGCGACGTGTGAGAAAAGAAATGGAAGTAATTGAGACATTGTCCTCATCCTTAGCGTTCTTCGTACATTTGTTCTGTTGTCGATGATTGAAACTTTAGACATCGCATTCTTAATTTTGGAAGCTTTAACATTTCTTTGAGGGGTTGGAAAAGCTAACTACCATTCAGTACATGGAAAGGGGGGGAAAAACTACTGTGGCAGAATATGAGACATTGAAATACATTAGGTGCATTGGTTATGATCCAGATAAAAGCTTTCACTACTTGTTCTTATCAATCTTTGCGCAATATCTTATTTGCTCATAGCATTTTGTTTAGTTTTAAGTTAGTTGGCAATGAAATTGCTTATTTCTGACTGTTTGTTGAACTGTTTGGGTGCATTTTTGTATATAATGTCTTAATTTTGTCATTCAGTTGGTTATGCACAATAGTTCCAGCATTACGTTGACCCTTCTTCTGTGTTCACTTATTTTCCTATTCCAGTAGATTAGTTAATCAAGATGCCCGAAAGAGTATGGAGCATGCTGAAACACGGTCATCTAGGAAGTCTCGTCGAGAACTGAATGGGGCAGAGAGTATTCGAGACAATTACAGGATTAACATTCCTGTTAGTGCTCCAACTAGCTCTTTCTCAAGTCCTGCAATAAGCCCACAAAGAAGTACTGGGGATTATTATGCATATCAATACATGACTCCTCAAGTATTTCAAATTTGGTCTGCGCCTGAGATGCCCCCTTCAGATATGACTCCAGGTCTAGGGCTCCCTCCTCAAATTTCCCCAGAGAAAAATGAATTTAGTATGGGTAGTTCACCCCTCCATAGTCCAAAATTAAGTCCCCATCGAAATACTGTAGCTCTGGGTGGACCTGCATCACCAATTCTTAACAAATCAGCTGTCGAGGCCTCAATGGCACGTCCTGAAAGTATTGCCCAGGCTACTGTCCACGCTCTACCTCTTCCTCCGGGAGCTGCTGTGTCTCCACAGCCTGCTGTTCCTCCTCCTCAAGTTACAGCTAAAGCGGAGCTGATGCCTATCAAATGCCAATGGCAGAAGGGAAAACTTATTGGGCGAGGGACATTTGGAAGTGTTTATGTTGCCTCCAACCTGTATGTGAATTCTACTTATTCTTCTACCCTTTTTTTTTGCGTCACCAAAAACTGATAGCTTTCTTTCTTTTAACAGAGAAACTGGAGCTTTATGTGCGATGAAAGAAGTTGAAATATTACCAGATGACGCAAAATCTGCAGAGTGTATAAGGCAACTAGAGCAGGTTGGCATCCCACTAGTTTTTTCCTTTACTCATGTAATTGATTCCTATATTTGATTATCTGGTCTAAACCATTTGCCTTGCTTTATGCAAATATATTTCAATGATTCATTTGCTATGGTCCTCCGTCTTATGTTGTGTATAATTAATGCTACTAAATGATGAGCCTTTCGAGTTTTAATATGTGAAAATGTACTTAATTCCCTTGTAATATATTAAGTGATCAATTGAATGTTGCTTTCTATCCTATCAAGTGAAAGAACACACATCTTTGTTGTGCATTAGTACCAATAGGCTTTCGCTTTTTTTCTTTTAATGAGACATGCATAAAGCAGAGGGTACATTGTGTAAAATTAACAAATTAAAAGTTGTTTTTCCTAATATGTCATTGTAGTTGATAATGACATCTTTGTAGTTCCACGTAGGTGTGAACTACTTACTGAACCATGACAAATGGCTTATGATTTGTCCATTGAATATTCAGCTGCATTCACTAATTATATCTAAGAACTCAGTTTGTCTGCTAAGTAGTTTTTACCTTCCGAGCCTGTTGATGTGTAGTTTATCTAACTAGGTTGTTTTTGGAGTAAGTGTTAATGAAAGGTAATCCACATTAGAATATATATAACAACACTAGTTGCTAAGTCATTGATTGAGCCATCAAAGTTGGATTTACTCAGATGAGTTCATTTACGGATATATTCTATGTCTGTGGGTGGAGGTAATACTACGTACATCTGATCTTTTCAAACCCCAAAGTAGTAGTGGCCTCGTGCACTGTGCCTGATCAATGGATCACCCAGATCGTATTGTGATCGATACTAATCCAAATTCAATTAGAAATTCCAATTTGAAATTTGGTCGGTATGTTCGATAGGTTTTGTTTTTCACTATCTAAATCCGTATTCATTAGAAATCGAATATTTGATCCAAAAATCTGGCTCGATCCAACTATATTAATGAGAGTTGAATTTAACTCAATTGCAAGAAAAATAGCTTATTTTGAACTTAATTTTTACAAATAATCAGTAAATTTAATCTCTATTTCACAAGGGAAAAAAACTCAAAATCTACAAATGCAAAAGTTACTTGACTAGATTGAGATCTATGGAAACCAAAGTAATCCCATTGGTTGAGGTCCTCACTTCATGCCGTCTCCAAAAACTCCGGCATCCTTCCTCCAGGCATGCCTCATATTCTTGTTGCATCAATTTACCAATTCTCAATCACCAAAATGAGCTCTATAGCTCTACATCTGATGAAAATTGTCATCAATCACTAGTATCACCTCCGATAAACTCATCTTTTTTTCCCCAAGCCCCAGTTGATTTTCCCTAAGAAACCGTAATAGTGTAGCCTCCAATCCATATCAAAAATGAGGACAGAATAAAGATAAAGAGACCATGAGAAGGTGGGATGGGGGAGATCAGAGAGAAGAGAGAAAGTAATAGAGAAGTGGAGAGAGGGGAACCATAAAGAAAGAGGGAGAGACCGAGAGGTGGGGATGGTGAATTGGGGAGAATTGAATCTGGAGGATTTTTTATTTCAGGAATAATGTCTATTATTTCTATATACAATATAAATTATAATCTTAATAATAGAAATACTAATAATAATAGTAGTACTAATTATTATATTGGTATCATTATTATAGTTAATTCGGATCGGTTGATATTGGATCAATTGGATTGCTATATATCTAGATCCGAATCCATTACTTTGAGATAAATGGATTCGGATTGATACAAAAAATTGATCCATCTTAGACTAATCGGATTCAAATTTGGATCAAAATCCGTTCTATTAATAAGCCTAGTGCTGCCTTTTTAACTTAGTAATACATGTGACTTACCTGACTGATAAAACATTTGCTGTATAAATTCCAATTTTTTTAGCCTTGACGGGCATTGCATGGGTTCCTTTTGATTGTTTGTCATTCAGTGGGAAACATTGTGCTAAGTTGGCTTCAGAATTCAATATCGTATTCCTTTACAGTGAAAGAAGTTGTTAATAATAGGTTACCTAAAGAAACAGGTAAAAGAAATTTCCACCCAAGATTTAATAGTTGGTCCATTCTCAGTCTCGGTAAAGTCCATCTTGTTGTGATAGAAATGAACAAGAACAAATAAGTTTTAGCTAATGTAATAAAGATACCAATTATTTTTCCAAAGAGTCTAGCTACTTTATTTATTTCAAATAGCTCAGGAACAAATATGTACGGAATAGAAAGATTCCAACCCCCCAAGTAAAGAGCTGTTACAAATAATGAAGAAAGCAATATTCATATATTGCTTTGAAATAAATAAAGTAACACTCACATATTCATATATGAAGCAACATACTTTATTCATATATGAAGCAACATAAAATAAACCAAATTTGATACCTGAATATTCGGTTTGATAACTTGCTACTAATTCTTCTTCAAGATTGTTCTTTGCAATTCAGAGTGGCTTGTGCATTTGCCTATGTATTAATTTTGCTCTTGCTACTTTCCATTGTTGCAGGAAATTAAAGTTCTCAGCCAGCTAAAGCATCCAAATATTGTACAGTATTATGGTAGTGAAATGGTGAGTGAAGCCTGTTGCATATTGCATTATCCATTTATATGCTTGATACAATGCTTAGATAGCATAACGGTATTCATTTATGCTATGCACATGCAGGTTGGTGATCGGTTTCACATATATTTGGAGTATGTTCATCCTGGTTCCATCAACAAATATATCCGTGATCACTGTAGAGCAATTACAGAATCTGTTGTGAGGAATTTCACTCGTCATATTCTCTGTGGGCTGGCTTACTTGCATAGCACGAAAACAATACATAGGTAACAATCACATATTTGGCTATGTGATGGAAAATAGTCTCAGGATACTCTAAAACCTCAATTGTGTCTTTTTGGAGACTTGGGATCACGTTTACCTGCTGTCATTGGCTTCAGTATCACTTCTGGCATGCAAAGTTTGATGATAATGATGGTGTATATAGGGACATTAAAGGGGCTAACTTACTTGTGGATGCATATGGGGTCGTCAAGCTTGCAGACTTTGGGATGGCTAAACATGTGAGTTCTTAACTTTCTAAAAATTGATTCATTTGCATGTATTCATTAGGGAAACTCGAAATTCTTACTGGTAGAGAACAGTATATCAAACCCGCGGCTATAAAAGCAACACAGCTTGGGTATCTTCTTGGATTATCTGCTCGTGCATTGGCAGTGACTGTGTGCTAGGAGTTTCTTATTTTTGCATAATGAATTCCCCTTAATTTCTGTATTGAGACGTGCTATCATGTGTCTCTTTCTGTGATAATTTCTTGTACCAAACTACGACAAAAGGTAAATTTGAGGCTGTATGCAAACCTAAGTCGGACATCAAGTTGCAGTATTGTGGAGAGAGTTCTCTCTTCTTGCCCATGGACAGTTTATGACTTGTGCACTCATGTTTTGTCAATTATTCCATGCTTGCAAGACAAATATCTTTTATGTTTTATTTAAACCTATCCTGCCCAAGATTAAGTTGCCCTCCCATATTTCTTGGTTGATTAGGAATAACTAATTGATTTATGGCTGTTTGGATTGGTAGCAACTAGTACAGCGACAAATAGCAACTGCTTGATACAGTGGATCATTGCACTCAAGCCATGAGTTTTGGTAGTGCAAAGTCGGGTTGGAAGGGAGATTCAATTGTAATGATCATCAATGACGTGGTTCCATATTCTACATCAAATTACTCTTTATCTTTTTCATTTGCCTTTTTTTTTTTTGCTTCTTCTTTCTTTGGATCTTCAACATGTTCCTTCTTAATTCATGTAGATTTCTTGAAATCTACCTCTCTCCCTCTTCCTCTCTCTCTTCCTCTTCCCTGGCCTGTTAATATTTTTATCTCATCAGATGATTCTGTTGCTTGTTTTTGTTGCTATTTTTTATGAAATCTCTCTGATGATCTTTATCAGTGAGAAATATCTACAAATGGGAATCAAAGTTTTTGTTGAATCACTGCTGCTGCAACCCTGTTCCACCCAAAAGCCAGAGCTGAGTTTGTTCTGCTCTTCCATATTCCCCACGCATGCTGAAATACCATGTCAGAAGAGTTTCCATAACTATAGACATTATTTGCACAAAGTAGCTACCCTCATCTTCAAACCCACAACCTCTCGGCCATTGGACCAAATCTGCTAATACACTTGTTACTATTTCAGAAAATAATTATTGCAGAAGATGTAGCATGATCTTTGGTAAATTGGACTTTTCATCATGAAGCTCCAACTATGATTGCTTGGGCCCAGCCTGTGTCTTGTGTTTGTCATTATTTCAATTAGAAAACGAAGCAGATGGATGGAAGATCAATGTTGGCTATTGAAGAAACAAAGGGTGAGAGATTCTTATTAGAGTAGGAATGATCCAGTCAAATGGCAGGGGGTACCTTATCCTACTTTGACCTTGTTTCGAATAAGACAACTTGATCCTAACCCCAAGGTCCTTACCAGACCCCAACGAGTGCTTTTAGCACCATGCTGGGGCGCTGGTTAGTTTAATAGATTGGTCATCCACTTGCTAACAGTTATAGATAAGTAAGCCTGGATTTTGAGAAATTGAATCTGAATGTGATTGGTGGTTTTTTGTTATATCATGGTAATTCCCAAATGTTTTGTGGATATTGATCTTTGACTTATACTGTTTTTGGTGGGTTATTTGGATTTTTATTGTACACGGAACTCAAATTTGGTCTTGTTGCATAGCTTACTGGGCAAGCAGCTAATCTTTCTCTAAAAGGAAGTCCGTACTGGATGGCTCCTGAGGTATCTTCTTGCTGCAATATCACATTCTTGAGAGCACATATTCCTTCCTCCCCATGCTGACATCACTGTTTTACCTGCAGCTCTTACAGTCTGCCATGCAGAAAGATACTTGTTCTGACCTTGCTCTAGCTGTTGATATATGGAGTTTGGGTTGTACGATCATCGAGATGTTGAATGGGAAACCTCCTTGGAGCGAGTATGAAGGAGTAAGTAGTTAGACACTGTTTGATTTGCTATACTCTAAATGGCGAGTACTTAATATGCATACCTTTTGCTGGTGGACTTTACGTTCACAGAATTTTGGAGAAATTGACCTTCGGGTAGGAAATTTTTTTGTCGAGTTCTATGATGTGTTATTGCTGACCATGAGAGGGGTTGCATCTTAGGGTCCCCCTGTACATCGACTGATGTGATTTGTGCTTAATGGGCCTGTTTTCTCATTTATGGACAGGGATTGAAAGTTGTCCATACCACATTACTACTTAGTGATGTATTGTGTATGTATTTTTGGGCTCTTAGAGCATCTAACCCAAAGTCAATTGGTGATTGGTGGAGTAGCCCTCAAGTATATAAACTGATCTTCAGTTTACTTAATTTATCGATGTGCAATAGTTCTCTTTACATCCTTCCTCACGTGCAACCCGGAGTTGCACATGGGCTAACAAACACTGGAACTGAATTGAAACAAATAGATAAACAGATCAAGAATTTAAATTGTGAGAGAATTGACCTACTAACTGTCCATTGCTCAACTTTGAACTCTGATACCATGTTAGAGCATCCAAACCAAAACAAATTTATGATACATCCTTGTAGACAATTAGTTATTTTAAATCTCTCTCTATCAATGTAAGCTTTTTGAAGAGCCGGAGCAGCTTGATGCTAGGGATCTTGAGTTCAAATTATAGCAGGACTCCTCCTGTACTACACAATAACAGCACGTGGATGGACCATCCAAAAGGGGGCCACACGGGAGGGGAGTAGTAGATAAATGCATGTTACATGGGCAACTGCCCGTAGTATATCCCCGTAGCATGTAAACCCCATAACATCAAATTTTAGTCACATAATCCTCGTGTGATTTTGGACCGACACACATGCCTAATTGGTGAAGTGGGATGACCAAACCTATTTCCTGCCTAAATTCTAATGGTAAAAATACAAAAATGCCTTGACGATTTCTAAATAGGATACATTCGCCTTTCTTTGTCTTCTTTCTTCTTATTCATTTGATCCCTCTTTGTTACTAAAGCTGAGTTCACTTGTCATTATCATTGCAGGCTGCAGCCATGTTCAGGGTTCTGAAGGAGAACCCACCCATCCCTGAAACACTGTCAGCCGAAGGCAAGGATTTCTTACATTGTTGTTTTCGCAGAAATCCGGCAGAGAGGCCATCAGCGAGCATGTTACTAGAACATAGATTCGTGAAAAGTTCACAGCAGCTGGACCTTTCATCTTGTATCCAGTCATTTAATGGGATGAAATTGAAGGTAAATTGCAATTGCTTATTGTATATTATTCTTGAATTATGTTGATCTGTCTATAAAATATGTTACTTCTGTCAGGATAAAGCACATTCTCAAAGAGAGCAGTCCAGATGTAAACTTGATCAGTTGCAAGTATCTACACAGACCACAAAAGGGAAACTGGTGAACAAGTAAGGGTTTATTTCTGCATTAGCCCTTCCCTGTTTCCCTCCCTTCTTACATCACCGGACCATGCACATGAAAAATTGATTTTTACTTTGGCATGACTGTCAGCTCCAGCTTCATGCATGATTCTTTTTCTCCAGTGAGACTTGGCAACGATCTTGTCATGAAACTTCCAACTTAATAGTGGTCCCTCGTCATTCACCTCAATCAACTCTCGAGACTCTTCCTAGTCTATCCCCTCCGCACTCAGGCCACAGCACAGATCATCCCAGCCCTTCTGCAGGTGTCCCCCGGCTCTATTAAACAGGGTGCCAAGAAGTAACATATATGATGTGGAGGGAAATTACCACCCTTTTTTTTTGTCTGATAAAATTATTATTTTTTGAGAATGTCCATAGCCTTCCACAGATGCGCTCTTTAGGTAGCTTGCAACCATTGGGAGTTGGAGCAGTAGGTTCTTTACGAGGTCCATTTGTCCCGGATATTTTTTGTTTGGACAGGGAGTTAGAAGTAGGTTTTGTTTACTATTCATTAATATTGAGATACGAAGATTACAGCAATGTAATTGTGTTATTCCAGTGTATCAGTTTCACATGTTCATAGAATTGGAGACTGAAAGAATGTATAGAGACACCAGAAAGTTCAGTTTCCTACCTCATCAATGCTTCTTGTAGAGTTTATGCATGAGCAATCTGTAAGTTAGATTAGTGCAATTTGAAGCCTTTTCTATTTAGAGATATATATGCAAATGATATAGTAAAGATTGTAATCACTTTTGTACATAGTTGATTTTCGTTGGAGTTAAGACTTAAATTTAAATTTATCGGGTTCGAGTAATAAATAGATGAACGTATCTTAGAATGAATCAACACGAACTTAACTAAAGCGAATTCGATTACGTGCGATTATAAATAGGATTTTCTCATTTATATGACATGTAGAGAGAGAGAAAGAGATTAACAGGATAAAGTCATCACTGAATGATAGTGGCTAAAATACACATATTCATTTTTATTTTGAATTTCTATTATTTTTTTATTGTTTTTTCTTCGCTTGAGGGTATATTTTGTTTTGTTTTTTTTGATGCAGCTGCTCTTGCTGTTATGACAGCACATACTAGTTTGGTTTTTTTTTTTTTTCGTTGTTAAGAGTTTTTCTAGTTCACTTGTGACAATTTATTAGATTTTTTTGTTATGGTAGCAACTTCCGACAATCAGGTTAATTCGAATATTACAAGATTCAGAAACTCAAAAATATTTCAAAAATCACAGTTTAACACCATCATTCTAATATTTGGATATTAGGGTTTGATCGCACACGACATCCCTTTCTCTCCCAATTCCCTTTTTCTCTCTGTCTCACCCATTCTTTTATAATTTAAAAAAAAAAATCTAGGAATTATTGGATTACAAAATTTGATATTTAAAAAAATTTAAATACATGCTGGTTAGAGAGAATTTATGAGTAGTTAGATTACACTGTCACGCATCCCACTAGAGTTAGTAGTGGGTGTGCTGTATCAGCACACAAGATTTAGACAATTTTTCACTTACTAACTTGAGTTTTTGAGTTGCCAAATGATTGGAAGTGGTATCAAGACTGGTCCCACCCTGTGAGTCGCTAGTCTCAGACCTTGGTCCGCCATGTGGACCCCTCATTAGGAGTCAAAGTAGGCTAAGCTAGATGGGTCCCTCCCTCCAAATGTGGAGGTAGAATGTAACGAGCGTGGCATATCTTCGGGTGGCAAAAAATGTCATGCATCTCGTATCGGTTGGGCTTACGAGAATCGTCTGCTTGTAATGTATCCTATTACGTCTTAAGCCCACTGTTGGTCCTTTATTTGATTAATCTTTTCATTAAATTTCAATTTTATTTGTACTTAAATTTTATGATCAATAGTTAAAAAAAAATAAAGCGGTTGATGTTGATATTTCTTAAACGAGGTGCTATCTTGATGCAAGTCTAGATTATATTCACAGAAGGGATATGATACGTGGGAATTCATTATGTATGAATTGTAAATAATCGTTGAGATTTTTCCAATAAAACTAAATATTTTTTTCCTTTATCATTCGAAAAGCTCAAGCCCAACTTTCTCGTAAGCTTTCTCTCTACCCACTACTAATTTTTTTGTATTATTTATTTATTTAATGTAGTCATGGTGTCTCAATTTCTTCAAATTGGTCCCTATTTGCAGTCTAGAGATGCTACTATGGGGATCAAGTTTGGGAAATGGCTAACTCTATGCTATCAAGTTGCTGCTTTATGAGACGAGCAGTGCTATAGGCACAAAAAATGTGCATTAAATTATTTTCAACCGCTAGATCATTGATGAGACATTAATTGTAGTTAATTTGGTATAAATTTTGGTGTATGCATAAGGATTAGCTTGTAAGATTAATCTATTGGGGGCTATGTTGCCGACAACCACCTCCTTCTCACTCCCATTGGGTGTTTGTGCTTGCTTTATCTCTACTATTGTACTTGCATGGAGTACTGTTGTGCTCTCAAAGTCTTCAGTGTACATGTCACTAGTTCCAACAAGTTAACTGTACAACAACATTCCACTGACATAGTTGACTTCCAAAAAAAAGATCTCACTTTGTGGCCTATAAATACAATTGTTGATGAAAAGTTATTATTGTTTTCAATATCTAATAGGCCAGACATCAATGATAATATCCCTTTGCAACCGAATTTTTCAGCACTTGCAAATTCTAGTCCGACTTTGTTGTAATTTGACCAAAATTTTCTAATTGTGGTGAAGAGTTGTCCGTTAGGTAATTAATGTGAAAATTCAAATTGAATAGGAAAGAAGTTAGAAATTAAGGCCCAGTTTGTTTTACATCTCAGAAATTGTTTTTCTATTTTCAAAAATAATTTTTTGGAGAAAAATTGTATGACCAACTTTTTTTGTTTTTGTTTTTTAAAAACTGAGAACAAAAAATAGATAGATTTAGAGAATAAATTATGACTATTTTATGCTTTTTTGGAAATAACAATTCCAAAATCTAAAAAACATCACCACCAACCACCACTACTTGCACCACCACCACCATCACTACCATATTTCTATTTTCATTGCTTTCTGAGTTGTCCTAATAAGTTTTACTATTTTATATTCTGTAAAACTGTTTTTACAATCATATAATCAAACAAGTTCTATAACACAAAAAATACTAAAATAATTTTCTAAAACTCTTTCCAAAAACAGTTTTCGAATACTATTTTTTGAGATACAAATCAAAGAGGGCCTCAATATGTATAGTGTAAAGTGAGTATATTGTATTAGACCACGTTATATCTTTGTGTTTTGTTTTATTATATTTTCTATCTTGAATTCTTACCACCCAATTTATGATATCAATATTAATTATCCATTCAACAAATCAAACTTACTTGATTCTCTAATATGCACTCCACTATTTTCGTACTTTTTCTAGAGGAATACCTAATCCTTCCACTCATGAATTTTCTACTTGTATGTGTTGTGTCTGACTGGTTTCTTTACACATGAAGAAAATTGTGGAGTTGTACCAAACTCAAGAGAAAGGGACATCTTTAGTGGCTCTGCCACTCTCCAAAATACATAATTATAATAGAAGTTGCATCCATCATTCTTAGCTTTGCTCTGATTTATAAATTGCTTCTGTCTGTACTACTTCTCGATCCAAAACCCATAGAAAATTCTGATGGTTCTTGTGGCATTCAAAGATATGAATAAACGAACCTATTCTGCTATTCCTTTGTTTTACCTCTTGTTTCTGGGTCATTGTGTGTATTGTCAACTTGATTATAAGTTCTATGATCTCACTTGTCCTAACCTGGTGAACATTGTCAGATATGGTGTCTGGTCAGCTATTGCCAATGAAACTAGAATTGCTGCCTCTCTTTTGCGGCTGCACTTCCATGACTGTATTGTTGATGTAATCAGATTGTCTTGTACACTTTCTTACTTTGTGTATAAATATATATATTTACGTAATGCCAGAGCAGTGCCTGAGCGGAGCAAAAACAAAGCAAGGGGAATTCTTCCCTTTTTTCTTTGGAGGAGGGGGGGAAGTCCTTTGATTGCGTATTGAATAATGATAGATCTGTCTTTTTTGTTCCACTAGCTAGGACCAAATTCTCACGTCTATTTCGCTATTGCAACCTTCTTTTTTGATGTCAAAGACAAGAAGTTATGTGATAATTCTCATTAAATCTTGGTTGTTCTTACGGGATTATAGATCCTATACAATGCTTTCATGAAGTGCTCTCTCAGACGTTTCCATACCTGCCCCCGTTTAGTAACGAAAATAAAAGCGAATATCCCCAAACTCATTTTTTGAAGAGTGCTGAAGTTGCATATTGGCTCAATGGTTAGCTTTAGTTAATCAAGATGACTGTATAGAGATTATACTAATGACAAATATACTATTCGTTGCTATTGATGCAGTACTACAGTAATTCAAACATTTCATACTTTTTGTGCCTGAAAAATCTAACTGCTTGGTGATTCTCTAAATGTTTTTTGTTGCATAGAGATGTGATGGATCTTTGTTACTCGACGATAATAGCACGTTCAGAGGAGAGAAGAACGCGCTCCCTAATCGAAATTCAGCCAGAGGTTTTGAGGTCATTGACATGATAAAGGCTAATGTGGAGAAAGCTTGCCCATCCACAGTTTCTTGTACAGACATATTGAGTCTTGCAGTAAGAGAGGCAGTCTATCGTGTAAGACCATGTTGCATATTTATGTGTCAAAAACAGACTATGTTAACCTTTTTTATCACCATGTTCTAGCATCTATATATGTTTATGTTGCGTTGTTGTCCCTTGTGTTTGTGTTAGACTGGAGGGCCTTATTGGCCTTTAAGCTTAGGTCGCCGAGACGGCCTGACCGCAAGTGAGAGCGCTGCTAACGCACAAATCCCATCACCTTTTGAGCCTTTAGAAAACATCACTGCGAAATTTGCTTCCAAGGGTCTCGATTTGAAAGATGTAGTTGTGCTCTCAGGTACATATCTCCACCTATGTATATTTTATTGCATCGGCATTCTCAAGTAACACAACTGTATTTTCCATGATATTTGCTCGTCATTTGCTATTAAACCTATAAAAAAAAAAATATGAAAGTTTTGATGCAAGTTGAAGTTGTTAGAAGAAATAAAATATGGTTTATATCTGAAAAACTATTTTTCTATTTTTATAAACAGTTTCTAAGAGAAAAATTATTTGACCAGTAATTTTTTGTTTTTATTTTTTGAAAACTGAGAATAAAAAGTAGATAGATTTAAGTTAAAACTGTTTTGTGTACTTTTTAAATAATATTTCCATAATTTAGAAAGACTAATACTATTTGGATCTAAAAATCTGACTTAATTTGTTAAATCACACTAATTTTCAATGTTTGATAGGGTCCACAGTTAATCTAAAGATCATAGTGAATTAAGTCAGCGAATTAGGTCCTAATAGCATTGTTTAATTAGAAAGAGTAATACTATTTGGATCTAAAAGTCTGACTTAATTTATTGATACAACACAACCACACCACGTCCACATCCATTTCCACCACGACGTGCATGTCCATTTCCACCACCATCACCATCACATTTTTATTTTCATTATTTTCAAGATTACTTTTTAAACAAGTTTTATTATTTTTTATTCCGTAAAACAATTTTTAAAATCATATAA